AACATTGGTTTATAGTAACTCTGCCTTCAATGAGTTCTGAGTTAATTAAAAAGCACAGACACACACAGAGAAAAATAGACATGAATTTAAGATGCAAAGAATAAAGATGGTGATCTAGCACACAGGATAAAAATGTCCCAAAGGACTTTTGGTCTTTTGATGGGTGAACCTTAACTAGGTGAGGAAATTCGGAGAGAATGTTTCTAACAGAGATCCTAGCAAGTGCAAAGTCACCGATGATCAAAGAATATGCAAGATCCTTGAGATAAGGTCTTTGATGCCATAAGATTAGAGTGTTGAACACAGAGAAAAGAAAGAAGATAAACCAATGTAGTGAAGAAGGTGGGTTCAGAAGTACTTCATATGTCTCAGAGCTCATAATTTTTCTTCTAGGGCAATTTTAGGTTTGGGGGTACATACCACAGGGATTTTGGTTGTAGAGAGATCATTCTGACCCCCTGAGAATAAGGGAATGAACTGGGGACCAGAAGAAAGCTGGGAAGACTAGGTAAGAGACTTAGAAGTCATCTGATTCAGCAAAGTCCAAAGTTCAAACTAAAGCACCAGCAGTGGAGTAAAAGGAAGGAAGGAATAGGAAGACTGTGAGGTAATAGAATGAATATGTGATAGTTAATTTTAATTATCAACCTGACCAGCTATTTGATCAAATATTAGTCTAGATTCATTATGGAGCAGTAGATATGACAAGTGGCCTAAAGTAAAATAGATTATCCTCCATAGCTCGAGTGGGCTTCATCAACCAGCTGAAGTCCTAAGAACAAAAAGAGAGGTTCCCCACAGAGTATCTTGCCTCCAGATTATAAACAAGCATCAGAGTGAGGAGCAAGTTGATGGTAAAAAGTAGATATCTTGCCTAACTTCCTGCATTCTTCTCTTCCACTTGCCTGGGCTATCTATTTGGGGACACAATCCTGTAGGAACCTCCAGTCTGTGGTCTGACCCATCGAGTTTGAATTTGTGAGCCTCCACAATCAAGTGAGGCAGTTCCTTAAATCTGTTTCTCTCTTTTGCTGGTTTCTTGAGAGATCTGTGACTAAGAAAGTAGGATTGGCAAAGCCAAATAACATGTGGGTATGAAAATAAACACGAGTCCCAGAAGGGGTCCAGGCCTCTTTCCAGTAAGACATGAAGACAATACACATTTCACTTTAATTTTCAATAAATTAGTCATTTTCAGCCATTTTCTAAAAGAATATTCCGTGAAAACACTAACATACGTTCCTAAGGCAAAATTGCACAAGTAAATCACTCTTTTTTGAAATCACTCATTCAGGAAGAGCACACTAGAGATTTTAGGAGAGGCTATAAATACTATAAGATTTTGCATAGCTATTATATGGAGAAATCAGAAGCATTCTTCTAACAATTAAATACCTAGGATTTTTGAAAGGTGTAAGTAGGGTAATTATATGCATATAAATAGCTTGGAGAATTGTACACATTCTTTTAAGCCAATTCAAGTCTTAGGCTAACATATGCAAGCCTTTCTTGATTACTTAGATTACATTTTTCTGAGAAAGTTCAAAGACAAAGATAATACACACATCCAAGGCCAATTATTTAATTCAAAAACACACAGGAAAGTAATTAAACATCTGGGTACCAGAATCCTTTCAAACAAAAATTTACTAAACATTTCATGTATAGTAAGCTTTCTCAATATGTTAAAATGCAAATAAACTTAAAGACATACTACATTTTAAAACAGAGACTACATTAGTATGATATAAATCAATTTTCTATTATTTACAAATTTAATATGGAATGGCAGTGTCAGGTCAGCATTGAACTGCTAACCAGAAAGTCGGCAGTTCAAACCCACCAGCCCCTCTGAGGAAGGAAGCTAAGACTATCGGTTCCAGTAGAGGTTTACAGCCTCGGAAACCCCCATATATGAATCTATGAACCAAATGGACGTCATAGCAGGGGTTTGGAGTTTATGCTGTTTCTTCAATCTGAAGTGATCAATTAGATCTAGTAAATCATGTTCCATTCTTTCATGTAAGAGAAACATTATTAATGATAAAGGTAGTTCTTACTAAATGTCATGTGTTTATAATTTTGACATGAAATGTAAACAATAAAGGATAAATTATTTTTAGATTGAGCAGTTCACTCCAGATGTTGCCAAGGTAACTAAAGTCAGCAGGCTTACATATTTCATTCCCAGGTAAATCAGTATATTTTATGGGGAAAAAAGACTGCTTTACTCATTTGTATAAAATATATTTTCACCTATTTTATAATTCACACTGCAAAAGAAACAGTAATGTTAGAAATAGCATTAGTTTATAAATTGAAATTTAAAACCAAGTTTTCAATGTCTGTGTGTTACAAATACGCAACATAAAGCCAGGAATAAACATTACACTGAGAAAAAAGTAACTTGTATTTTCTGGCTTTGTGTAGCCATATAGATGCTCTTTCCTCTCTTCTATAAAGATAATTTTTCCGGACTGAAAATCACAGATCTCAGACACCTAACTCTGCTACCCAATTCACACCCATCAGCCGCGTTTCCTGGTGAGCCTGCCTCCTTACCCCGCATAGTTTGCTCCCTC